AAGGCCCTATAATCCACACATAAACGTAAAGAGCCATCCTTCTTCTCTCTAAAAAGGACCGGGGCAGCCACTTTAGGCTTGGCTGGCTCAATGAAACCTCTCTCCAGGTTTTTTTTTATAAATCTTTCCATTTCCTCCTTCTCCTTTGGGCTCATGGAGTATAATCTGGCTTCGGGAGTTTTGCCCCAGGCTTGAATTCAATGGTACAGTCTGTGGGTCGGTGGGGGGGGAGCTCATTCGCCCTTTCCTCACTGAAGACTTCAGCAAGGTCTCTATATTCCTCTGGTATTTCTGTTAATCCTTTTTCCTCTCCTATGGATGCTTTTTCTATTCTTGATTCTGGTAGCCTCCCTTGGGGTTTTAAGTCCATTGGGTCCCCCTTCGGGAATTTGATTTCTGTCGTCCTCCAATTTACCCAGGGGTTCCATTTTTTCAACCATTCCATCCCTAGAATCATTGGGCATTCCATACCTGGGGTCACCACAAACGTTATGTCCTCTTCATGTTCGCCCAGGGAGAGGTGTATTGGTAGAGTGGCTAGGGTACTGGCACCCCCCCTGCTATGGATCCGTCTAACTGGCCAAATGAGATTGGTTGTTCCAGTCTCCTGGATGGGATGCCCAGGTTCCCCACTAGTGTTGGGCTAATGAGGCAGCGGGTGCAGCCAGAGTCTATTAAGGCTTTCACCTTCACAGCTTCGGGCATGGGGGGGGATTAATATAGTCACTGTTTTGAAGATGGGTGTGATGCATCCACTTACCAGGGGTTCGCCCTCCGAGCTGTCATCTGAGGCATCCACCGGCCCTGTGGTGTAGGCTGGAGTTCTTTCCCCTTGGTGAGCAGAGGTGGGGGTTTCTGCAATTTCCATCATTCTCATGGCCGTTTCTTTTGGCTTAGCTGAAGACTTTCCAGATTTGTTGATTGGGGATCTGTCTGGGTTGTGCTAGGGGGCCTTTGAGCGGCATTCTACAGCCCGATGCCCTTCTCTTCCGCACTTGAAACACCCCATTTGCTTCTTGGCTGTAGCCGATGATTTCACCGGTTCGTGCGTCAGCTCAGGCGGGGGGCGGCTCCATTGTTTTCCTCGGCGGTGCCTCTTCAATATGTCGATCTCTGCTTCCTCTGCCAAGACGTACCATTCCTCAAGTTGATGTGGGTCCCCTCGGGGCAGGCAAACGTCATATAGATCATAGTTTAGTCCGTCTTTGAAATGGCTAAGGAGGATGTCTTCTGGCCAATTCAGTTTGCTGGCAATGGCCTGGAATTCTTGTGTATATTCAGCCACCAGGCGTTTGCCTTGCCTCATTGTTTTTATCCTTTCACGGGCTTTGCGATCAGCCAGGGGGTCTTCAAATCGTCTTCTCAAAGAGGGCATGAAACGGTTGAAGTTACTGAGTTCTGGGGCATTGGAGTCATGCAAGTTCACCACCCAATCTGCAGCCGGTCCATCCAGGGCAGATTGCACGATCCAGATGCGGGCTTTGTCGCTGGGAATGTCCTGCCCGTATTCCTCCATGTAGCTGAGGACTTGGGTTAGGAAAAACCCCAAGCGTGTTGGCTCCCCTTTGAATTTCACCTCCAACGGTGGACGTCTTGGAATGGATCGGTGCCTCCGTTGTTGGTGGTAGTGTCTTCCGTCCAGATTGCCATCTGTGGTCCGGTAGGGGGTGGGGGCTACTGGATCAGTAGATGTCCCTGGGGTTTGCAGGTTCCACGTCCCCCTCGGTGTCTCTCCCTTTGCAGCTCCAGGAGCTGGGGCGGCCGTAGGGCTCAGGATTCTCCTCTCCTAGGGAGCTGAGAGTTCTCTTCATCAGGTCAATAGCTTTCTCTAGGATCCAGTCTGAGTACGGTGCCCAGCTTCCTCCCTCTTCACTTGCGTGCAGGGATTTCTCCATCTCCTACTTCCATTCTGGTTGCTTGGTCCCCCGTCTCAGGGTCACCTTTCTTGATTCCTTTCCCCACTCACTTTTCTTTCCAATGCCCATTGACCAGCGAGGCTTGTGGTCCCGTGTCTCCACCACTTCTTCCCCTGAGGAATCTGACCTCTCGGATCCCAACATCTGGCAAGGTTCCAAGTGGGTCAGCGGCTCTCTTTCCAGGGAGTTTTCCCCCTCTCTTGCTCCATTGTCTGACATGGTAAATTTTTTGCAAAATCCCCTGGCAAGGGTCTCCCTTCCAGGTGGATTAATTTTGCAAGTCCTGTCTAATGTAAGGACCCACCCCACTTTGCATCTTAAGAAGACAGAACTCTTGGAATCATTCTTCCAACAGGAATCCTTTATTAAGAAGAAGTGGTTGCAGGCGTGCTAGACAGGACTTGGGGTTCAAGCTCTCCCATTCAAGGTTTTAAGGGGTTCCCCAGTAGTCCCACCCAATCACCCCCCCTTCGAGTGATAGTTTCAGGTATCACAATTCCACCCCCCTTTTTCTTTCTTCCGTCTGGATGGAGACTTCAGATAAACTACATGAAATGCAATTAACCTTCTTTGTTATGATAAGGTTCTTTGGTGCTAACTCTTTGAGGTTGCAATAAACACACATTCAGCTCCTTAGAAGTATACTGAAGGAAGTGAGGGCCATAAAGCCCCTTTGTTCTCCCCCTTCTCTCCCTCTTATGGCAGAATCCAAAGAAGGCAGAATTGGGAGTTTCTATATTTGATAATTAAAGATGAAATATAATATAAATATAATACATTTATTACTTTGGAATCTGTGCTGACAATAAATTGTGAAGAAAGTACGGAAAGGGGAATATATAGCCTCCTTCAGAATAAGCCTCATCATCAGCACAGAATGTATATTTACAAACTTGGTTCTTGAGAAATGAAAGACTGTGGGATAGAGGGCTTTTCTAAAAGAGAAAAAGGAAGGACAAAGAGTGAGAGAATTCAGCATGATGAAAGACAGGAAGCAAAAGAAGAAATAAATTCTGATGCTGAACCACTCTATTCATGTCTGTAAAAAAGAAAACTAAAGGATATAAACTTCCTGCTGGACATTATCTGAATATTATAATTTGATTTAAAAATTATGCAGCCTGAGGTTTCAAAAAAGACTATTTATTTTAAAACTCTACCCCTGAGAACTTAAATAGATGGATTTTAATGAATAAATAAATGAACTTTCCTTGGGAAAGGGGAAAGTATTAAATATATGAAGAATAATTTATTATCTGTTTGTGTTAATTAAATTTATATTAAATTGTAATTTTTTATCCTGGGCCACCAACCACTTTGTTCAAGAGAAGTTCTTATCTTTCCTGGTTTTCTGAAAAAGAAACAAGCAATAACCCTCTTTGTATCGACCAACAAGGGGGAAAATGGTATTTAAAAGGCTTTCAAACAATTTACATCATTGGGACATTCAGAATTCAGATTTTCATTAAGATATCAAAGTAAAAAGTAATTGAAAATGCATAAAACAAATAAACAAAATAAATGAATTATGGGTTCAATTTTGACTCCTTCTCCTTCAGCAAGAAACAAAAACACACACAAAACACAACATGAAGATGCTTCTTGCAAATCAATTTGATAAAGTAAAATAAATTTCTAATCTCCACCTGGCTTCCATTAGTCCCCATTTTGCTGCATAATTATTTAGTTGAACCCAGATTTTAATAGGGTGAAGTAGCAATAGCAATAGCACTCAGACTTATGTATTGCTTCAAAATGCTTTACAGCCCTCTCTAAATAATTTACAAATGTCAGCATATTGTCCCCAACAATCTGGCTCCTCATTTTACCAACCTTGGAAGAATGGAAGCTGAGTCAACCTTGAGCCACTCAGAATTCAACTCCTGGAATGAGCAGTGAGTTAGCCTGCACTACTGCATTCTATAAGTGCGCCACCACAATAACATTTCTTACCTGGGCTTCAACCGGTAATGAAGAAAAGAGTGAAAGCAGAAAAGAAAAGCAAATGGAGCATACCCTATTCTTTAAAAAATGAAACTTTTCTTTTCCCAATTAGATTTCCATGGTCTTATAATCCTTGCTTATTTACCTCTATTGGCAGATCAAGTTTTCCTTTAATTCTGCATCTGAATCTTTTCAGAGTGAACTTTGATCACTCCATTTACTATTTTTTATTTATGCTGGTACATTTACTAAACCTGTTTTTCAAAGATAAAAAATAGTTACATACAATGAACTTTAATTCATGATTCCCCAACTTTGAAATAATCTTTCACCTTTAGGCATTAATACAATTTTTAAAGTGCAATTTCTAGCCTCTCATCATTGTGTGAAATAACAGGTTGCTTACTTGGTCCTAGCCATCTTCTAGAATATCCTTTTAACTGATCATAAGCTAATCACAATGGGTGAGTTGTAACCATTAAGTTGAATTGTTAATTGTCGACATGCTTCTTCTGACATGAAACTACTCTGCAGAATAATGGAATGAATTTCTAGGCACTTTGTCTCTGAACTCTTAAAATAATTCTTTGAACTATTCTTTCAGCAAGCCTAAATCAGCAAGCAATGACAAATTCAATCACATCTCCTCCATAGCCATAAATCCCTTTTATGTGACCTCCCAACTCTGCTTGAATGCTATGCCATATCTGAAATGGTCAAGAAATGATTGTGAATCTACAAAGAACAGAAAAAGTGCATACAATAAATGGATTTTTTATACTTATGGTTATTATCTCCTTATCACAACTGCCTCTTCTTGGATGTAATTTCATATAACTCTACAATAGTCTTATATCTAGAAAACTAATTATCAAGTGGGGTCAAGCCAAATTATTCAAATTAGCAATCACATAGATAAATTTTCTCCATGATGATGTACCCCAACCAGTTCTTTCAGGTCTCCCAATGGTACCCTCATTACCACTGTAGCTTACTTCCCTTTTGAGAAAAGGGGAAATCCTAATAACTGGAAAAGTGTTTTCATATGAGGTCTAATTGCTATTCAGATTAAATCTCAAGGGAAGATTTGGTTATAATTATATAAACATACTTTATTTCATACTTTGTATCTCAGCATGTTCTACTTGTCATTAGACTGGGTAAGTAGAAATAATAAGTATTTTTTTTTTCATTTTTTCCCCAAATACAACAAAGGAAGGCAGAGAGCTGAGAGTTGGCATATATAAATTGTAGAACGGATGAATGGATAACTGGAAATTTACTGCATATTATTTTTGCATCAGTTCAGAGACATGGTGTGGAAAATATAATTAAATCTTTGCTGATACAATTCTGAGATTATTTTATTATCCTCCTCCTTCTTTTTCTAAACATTAGTTTAGAAAAAGTATAGTTTTCACCAGCAGAACTTATCCAAAGAAAATGTGTACTTTACATAACTGATTTTCTTTTTGACAAAGAAAATAGTATTTCCTTATGCAAGAATAACATTAATAAAACAATTCATGGCAATTTATTGTTATTATGGAACAGATTAAACTAAATCAGAATCTAAATTGTGGGAGAGTGAAACATGTAAAATAGTTAGAAAGAAAGTCATGAAATGTAGAATGAAATTTATAAAAAAATATTGTTCTTTAGTTCATATTTTGCTCAACAGCTTGTATTCAGAAATATATTATTAAGGAATCAATGATTAGTTATCCCTCCCTAATTTTCTTCAAATCTAAAACCAGGATTGATTAGGGATGCAGAACAATCAAATCTACTTTATTGGCCTGAATTAACTCCAGTAATATATTAACTGCCACTCACTCATTCTTCAAATCATTGCTACCAAAAACAAACTACAAAACTCTTCTTACAAAGAAAATTCTTGATGCTAAGAAAAAACCATGATCCACTGATGAAATTCATATCTATAATTGTCCAATTTTAAGGAAAGTTATGCCATTGCCTTTAGCATTTGCTGAGTCAATACAAGAAGCAACGGGTGGAAACTAATCAAGGAGAGAAGCAACCTAGAACTAAGGAGAAACTTCCTGAAAGTTAGAGCAATTAATCAGTGGAACAGCCTGCCTCCTGAAGCAGTAAATGCTCCAACACTGGAGGTTTTTAAGAAGAGACTGGACAGCCATCTGTCCGAAATGGTGTAGGGTTTCCTGCCTGAGCAGGTGGTTGGACTAGAAGACCTCCAAGGTCCCTTCCAACTTTACTGCTATTACATATCACATCTAAAAATCATACATTTCAAAAAGAAATTAGATTAACCAATCAATCAATCAGAATAGAGCTGGAAGGTACATTGGAGGTCTTCTACTTCAAGTCCCTGCTCAGGAGACCCTATATCATTTCAGACGTGGCTCTCCAGTTTCTTTTTAAAGTCCTCCAGTAATGAAACACCAACAACTTCTGAAAGCAAGCTCTTCCACTGATTAATTATTTTCATTGTTAAAATGTCTCTCTCTAATTCCAGGTTGCTTCTCTCCTTGATTAGTTTCCATCCATTGTTTCTTGTCTTAGTTGCTTTTTTCTGCACTATTTCTCAACATCTTTTTTGTAGTGATCAAAACTGGGTATAGTATTTCAGGTATGGTCTTGCTGAGGTTTTATAACGCGGCACTAATACTTCATGTGATTTTGATTCTATGCTTTAACTTAACACTACTTAACACTAGTCTGGTTGCATTGTTAGGAATTATTTTGTCATCTATTCATAAAAGTACAAAAGTCACTAATGTAGATCATGACATACTGAAAGACTGAAAATTTAAGGTGGAACAAATTGCAATATTGTAAAAGAACTAATATTGGTGTTGTTACAGTGCAACATAAATAGGTATAGACTCCACTGAAATATTCTGGGCATTAATTTTGTGAGTTCTCCTTTATAGGCTAAAGAAGACACATGGAATTACTCAACCATGGACAGCTAAATAGCACGAGAATAACAGAATTCATTCTTCTTGGTTTCCCAGGCTCACCACGTTTTCAGCTCTTCATCTTCATCCTCTTTTTTATCATGTACATTCTGACAATCTTAGGAAATCTCTCCATCATGCTTCTCATAATAGCATATCGACACCTCCATACACCTATGTATTTTTTCCTTTGCAACCTTTCTTTCCTGGAAATATGGTACACAACAGCCTCTATCCCCAAGATCCTTGGGATCTTTTTTGGAAGAAGCAGAGGTATCTCCTTCTCTTGCTGTGTTGTACAGATGTATTTTATTTTTTCTTTTGGATGCACTGAACATTTTCTGATAGCTACAATGGCTTATGACAGATATTTGGCCATATGTTATCCTTTGCATTACAGTACTATCATGAATAGCAATCTATCTTGTAAGTTGGCCTGTGGATGTTGGCTTGGGGGCTTTCTTGTTATTTGCATACCTGCCTATTTGGTTACAACATTGTCCTTTTGTGGGCCCAATGTGATCAATAATTTCTATTGTAACCTTGATTCCTGGATCATACTCTCATGTACAGACACTTGGTTTATTGAGATAACAGCTTTTTTCATAGCTATTTTTGTCATTGTAGGCTCCTGTATGATGACTCTTCTTTCCTATATGTACATTATCTCCACAATACTGCGCATTCCTTCCACCAAAGGTCGACATAAAGCTTTTTCCACATGTTCTTCACACCTTGCCGTAGTTATCATTTGGTATGGCTCCACCATATTCCTCTTTGTCAAACCTTCTAAGCAGACCTCTTTAGAAAAGACCAAGGTAGTAAGCATCTTCAACCTTATTGTGGTCCCATTGCTGAATCCTTTCATCTATACATTAAGAAATAGAGAAGTCAGAGATATTTTGAGGAATGTATTTCACAGTGATGGGCAAAATGCATGTTAATCCTCAAAGACTCAAAAAAATAAACAAACCAGAAATATTATATCATAAATTTTAAATTTGAACTCTTGCAGTTGGTGGGATTATCAGAATGAATCAACATTACTTATATTATCTTTCTGGAAGAGTACATGTTAACATTTTTTTTTTCTTTTCAGTTTCTGACATTAAAATATATTTTGAGTCACTTATGAAAACCAAGTGGAAATAAAAGGAATGGAATTATTCTTTTGAGCATCTGAGTCCTGTGTTTATTTCCTATCTGTAAATGAATCTCAGAGAGAAAGCTAGTAATTTGGTTATGAAAATGGTGTCATTCACACATACATTAAAGAAATGTGTTCAGGAAAAACCTAGCCCATAACTCAAAATGATGTTTAATTGAGATGTAATTCATTTAGCATTCCACATATTGTTACAAGGTTTTCTGCTATCATTGTTTTATATAATGGAATATTTGTCTCACTGATGATCCATCTTCCACATCTATTATTGTCTCCACCATCACTCTAATATGAAGAGAACTGCAAATACTGGTCTGTCAGTTCCTCCCCTCAAATTAGCTTATTAAGTAATACTGAAAGTACTGAGGAAAAACAGAAGTGACTAATATATGTAGATATGATTGGCATTTCAAGAACATGATGTGAATATTCAAAGAGAAATGTGTGCACTCAAAGATTTCAAAATGGATTTCAAAATGGAAACAAGCAACTGAAGTTATTTAGATTGCAAAATGGATTCCAAAGTGAAACAAGCAATTGAAGGTATTTAGATAGTAAACATATGAGATTGTCCTCTGACAACATTTCAGGTACCGTATTTTCCGGCATATAAGACGACCCATCATATAAGACGATCCCCGACTTCGGAGATGATTTGCATGGTTTAGAAAGTCGTCTTATACGCTGGAAAATACGGTACTCCAGATGTTAATTGCCAATTCCCATACAATATTTGCCTTCCTCCTCCCCTTTTTGGACAAAGTATTACTTCTAAATAAAAATACTTATTTTTATTTTCTGTGAATCCATATGTGGCTTCTTTTTTAATATATATATATATATTATTGGTTTTATAGTTTTAACAAAAAGTGTTTAAGATACACCGTGGTGTTTGGGTAAACAAAGATTCCAACATAAAATCACCCAATAATAGCTCAACTTAATACATTTGCTATCATCTCTCTATTTCCCTCAAGTAACATATTAAATTTAATATATTTCATTTCTATCCTAAATTTCTATTACTGCTAAACCTGTTTATTAAAACTTTAAATCAATTTCAATTACCATAATCAGATAGTGTTTTACATCAACATATTATCACTTCAAATACCTCTTGCAAATATATTCAAGTTCTTAATCCCTCTCATCCCTTTTTATCACCAATCTTATTTATTTCTTCTTCCAATAATAACTAGTTTAGTTAAAAAACACAATATTATCATATCTTATCAAATCGTATTATTATATACAAACATCTCTTAAGTAATTAAACATCACACATGTATATAATAGTTTTCTTACTTCTAAATCTAAATCATTATCCTTAACCTTTCAGCCAATAAATCCATTTTTGTTACTTATAGTAATCTTTTAATTTCATTAAAGAAATTCCATCCAATTAATTATCATACCATATCAAAATGTATTATTATACACAAAAACCTCCTAATTAATTAAGCATTTCAAAATTCCAGTCTAAATCAATCTATTATTCCAAGGAATGCATTCTTAATCTCTATAAAGCCAAGTTTCTTTTTTCACTCCACATTTAACTTTCATATTTCCATATCAAACAAATTTCCATAAAACAAAAAAGTCATCAAACTAGATTAAACACATAAATATAATTGTAGATTTCTTACTTCTAAATCTAAATCATTATCCTTAAAACAATCCATAGAACCAACATTGCCTTTTAATCCATTAAACAGTTTTTACTAATTTAAACACACATAGATATAAAATTGCATTTTTCCATTCTAGATCAATATCCTTAAAACAATCCATGAAGTCAACATTGCCTTTTACTCCATTAAAAATTTTTAAATTTGTTTTTCAGTCTAATTCTGGGTTTCTTTCTGTACCACACAAGCTTCCATAAAAAACGCTTCCCTTTCAACCAATAAATCCATTCTCAATACTTGCAATAATCTTTGAGCAAATGTACGTCCCTTTCTCTGCAGTAAACGTCTTTTTTCTCTTTCAAACAATAGATCAGTTCTTATTGCTTGTAGTAGTCTTTGAGAAAGTATAACTCTCTTCCTCTGTAGTAAACATCTTTTTCTGTTCTCTTTGCGATACAGTTGCTTTGTATTTTGAAGTCTTAGTCTTTGCTTCTTCTGGTTCTCTAAGTTGCTGAAGAGGGAATTGTCAGATGAAATAAATTCCACTTCTAACTCTGTAGATTCCTCTTCTGGTACATTTTGATTTATGACATGATCAGTTGTAACCTGGACATCAGTTTGAGCAAATGTAGTAGAGTCTCTGGATCTTAATTCTAAAGTACAGTTTTTAAATGTAGCCCAAATTTCTGCAGTGGCCTCATAAAACTTTTCCAATATAAGTGCACAGTTCAGTTGTATCTGAGGTTTCTCCATTTTAATACTCTTAAAAGGAAATCTCTTTTTCTTTTTTGTAGAGGATTTATTTAATGTAAAAACATCCACCCCCACAGCTTCACAGGTGCACAGCTTATCTTTAATGTTTGAAGTTCATAAAAAAAGTTACAATATTAAATTTTCACCACTAGATGTCCTCAGTGAGTTAGGAAAGTCTTTTCCAAAAATCAATTCTTTTTTTCTGTCTTTTAAGGTATAATATGTATATATATATAAAAGTAGAAATAGTAAAGTTCTTAAAAATAAAGGAGAGAGGAAACCTTTTCCTTCTTTTTTTCCCTTTTTGTGTCCAGTTTATAGCCTTTTAGTGTTTGTAAAATGCCTTTCTTCCCCACCCCCCCAAAAAAGCAGAAGCCGCCTTTCCAAGCCATGGAAATAATTTCAAAAGCTCTTTACAGGCATACAAAAAAAAAAAAAAAAAAAAGCGGAATAGAAAGAAAAATAAGAAAAAATTCTCACCCGGATTCACCATGGGGGCACTAAAAGCTTAGATGTTTTCTGACTTATGGTCTGAAGCAGCAGGGCAATTGGCCATTTTCATGGCCGATCTTCTCTGTCGACCCTCAGAGATTTATCTGGACAGCTGGAGGAGCCGCCACTCCTCCGTAGCCAGACCACAGCCTCCTCAACAGAAGTTGCACCCTCCAGGGCGACTTTGGACCTGTATAAGGGTCCACCGACGAAGGGAAACCTAGTCGACGAGGAGAGGAGTCTCACTGTAGGACTAGTGATACCGCGAACCGGAACCGGAAGTCTCATATGGGGCTTCTGATGCATTTAGAAAAGTAGGTTAATTCTAGATACATATATTCTTCTTTACAGCAAGGTTCACTCAGATGTCTATGTATCAGTTAAGAGCCAGAAACAAATAACACAGACACACAAACACACAGCCAGAAAATGAAGTTGCCTCTTGCAAATCCATGTGAATAAAATCAAATAAATTTCTAATCCCCTCCTGGCTATATAATTATTTGATTTTGAATCCAGACTTTAATAGGGTAGGGCAACTTTTCTTATCTTGCTTTCAGCCAGGAATGGAGAAGACGTATTCTAATTCTACCTGTTAAAGCAAAAGACAAAAGAAAATGGAGAACCTCGTTTTGATTTAATTTAAAAATTTCTTTTATGATCTTAATTATTGCTTATAATCCTCTACTGACAATTTTTCTTTAATTCTGAATCTAAACCTTTTCAGGGTGAACCTTGATCATTCCATTTACCACACATTGGGTTTGGGTTTATACCGGTACATTCATTAGACCTGTTTCCCAAAGATAGAAATGCAAGGACCATAACATACCATGAACAAGGAACTTCAATTCATGACTCCCCAACTTTGAAACAAATTCCCACTGTTAGGCATCAATACATTTTTAATGTAATTTCTTAGCAATGTTAGCCTATCATTATTGTGCAAAATTATAGAATATTTATTAATCCTAAAGATATTCTAAAGTGTCCTTTTCACTAAATATAAACTAGTCTCAATGGATGAGCTGTCACTGTTAAGTTCAATTGTTAATTCTATCCAAAAACTATGCTTTTTGTGACATAACTATGCTGTGCCATAACTGAAATGGTGAAGAGGTTACTGTGATTCTACAAAGAACAGGAAAAGGACATTTGATAAATGGACTACTTTAACTTCTGGTTATTATCTCCTCATCCCATCTGCCTTTTCTTAATATGGATAAGATTGCATACAGCTCTATAATAGATTGAATCCTATTTGAATATTAGACTTATATCCTAGAAAACTGGTTATGCAGTGGGTCTGTCAAGACTGATTTGGTCTTTCAGTTACATTTTCTCCCTTGCTCATAGCCTGACAAAATTGTGGAATGCAAAGGTGGAGGGGTGGTATCTAGAAAACTGAGGCATCTTTGAGAGCTTGGTGCTGATCATATGGCAAAAACTATGGGCAAGAAACAAGAAGCTTACTTTGGCCATCTCTTACAAAGAGAACCTTTACAAAATGTTTTATAGATGGCATCTTCCACCCACGAGATTGTCTAAAATGTATACCAATGTTTCCCCCAAATGTTGGAAATGTAATTTGAAAAGTGGAACTTACTATCATATGTGGTGGAAATGCACGCGAGCTTGTGATTTTTGGAACAGGATTAAAATATGGTTGGAAGAAATATTAGAGCAAGCGGTAGAATTAAAACCAGAACTCTTTCTATTAGGTTTAACTACGCAAAAGCATGACAAAGGCGTACTTTATTTAATGCTACACATTTTAATGGCTTCCAGGCTGGTTTTTGCTCAAAATTGGAGGAATAAGGGAATCCCAACGGAAGAAGAGATCCTGCATAAAATTCTATCATGTGCTGAGATGGACAGGTTTACAATGATTATGAAAGACAAAACAGAACATGAATACTTCGAAATCTGGGGCAAATTTTACCGTTGGTATGAATTAAGAACTGCTCGGACTTCAAGCTAATGGTAGAATTAAAAGATATACATAACTGTACATATAATTGTATATATAATTGTATTGTATAGAAGATGAGGCTTATATAGAGGTTAAGAACAATGTATTAAACTTTTGTACTATGATAGGAACTGATAGGAAAATTCACGCTGGAATGTCATGTTTG